GTTTTGATGTCCTTACAAATCAAGCCATACTGTATTTATCTTGTCTATTATAAATTGAAGAGAAATAATCTTCAGCAAAAGGTATGTTTAAACGATCATGTTTATTGCAATTAAAAATATTGATCACTAAGAGGGATAAGAAAAAAACATGACATTAATTATAACTTAATATAGAGAAGCCTAATCTATTACCAGAAACTGTAAAAAGACCTAATTTGATAGTTGGGGCTTTTCTCATAGTTGGGACTATTAAAAAAAATCTCTGTCGACCAGTAAACAAGCTGCTAATTCAGCTGGTATGTAAAACTGCTTCACACAATGTTAATATTATGCTTTGTCTCCAACAGTAAACTCTGAGGAACACATATCAGTGCATGTCTCCTATAGGTTTGTACATCCACCATTTTTGTTCAGAAAGTTTCCTTTATTCAAAAAAGTTCCTGTCTTAATAAAGTAGGTGAGCTGCTTAGCCATGCTAGTCGCTAGCCTCTCCAATGCTAACACAAATGAATAGTCTCCTTCTCATTGGCCAGCGCCGGCCTCTCAGTTAGCGGTGCCAGCCTCTCAGTTAGCGGTGCCAGCCTCTCAGTTAGCGGAGCCGGCCTATCATTAATCAGATCAACAGCCTCCTGCTACAAGGATGCAGCTACCGCTGGTTGTACAAGTCTTAATTTTGGCCCTCATACCGCGCCATACAGGCCGAACTCTGCTGCCTCTCTGTTTACTGACTGAACCAACAACTGCAGAAGCTACAGCGTTGGACATATTAAAGGGTTTAAATGATCTGTGGGACAATGTGAAATCAATTCATGACAGAGAAGAACGTTTTGATACAGAACACAAAAAGATTTCAAAAACTTTCAATGACCTGTTAGACAGAGGTTTAAAAATCACTACGACAATGAAAAACAAATCATGTGAATTAATGAAAGTGCAGACTGAGTTACAAGATTGTAAAGACTCGTCATCACAAAAATTTAAATTTTTTAAATTACAAAACAATGAAAAGAAGCTGATCAAAGAGTTGACTGCATTAGACAAGAAGATCACAAAGTTATATCCAGAAATTACCATGGAAGAAGACAAACTGAGAGACTACGAAAAAAGACACTTCAATGAGGAAGAAATGATTATTTTTAAAGCCATATGTGATAATCTAGATGGTTACAGAGACATAGAATCAAAATATGAAGCATTTGTTAGCGATGACATGTATCCAGAATTGACTGCAGACAAAAAAAAGCTTTTAGAGGAAGATATGAAATTGGCCAAAAAAAGGCATGATTATTTAAAGACTTTAAGAGACTTTGCTGACATGAATATTAAAGACAATTTAGAAGAAAGATATAACTTGAAAGAAGAATCAGATTGTGAAAACTTCATTCAAGCACGGATAGATAAAGGGTACCAGGTTGTTACTCTTGAACATCAACTGGGTTTGTGTTAGTTACCTACAGAAATGTGACCTACAGAGACGAGTCAGGTTTAAGGTTAGGAATGAGTCCAGATCCTGACTGACGATTACTCCTACACTGTGATAACTGACTTTTACTCTCAGCTTTCAACTTAGAATTATTTTACACTGAAGTCCACTGTTAGCAGTATAAGACCACTGTTAGCAGTATAAGACCACTGTTAGCAGTATAAGACCACTGTTAGCAGTATAAGTCCACTGTTAGCAGTATAAGACCACTGTTAGCAGTATAAGTCCACTGTTAGCAGTATAAGTCCACTGTTAGCAGTATAAGTCCACTGTTAGCAGTATAAGTCCACTGTTAGCAGTATAAGTCCACTGTTAGCAGTATAAGACCACTGTTAGAGA